TTCAATTCAGTGAGCGTTTGAAATGTGCTGACATGCAATTCACTGATGTTGTTATGAGACAGATCCAATATGTTTAATAAATTGCTTGCAGGGAAAATATCCGGTCCAAAGTGATTGATTTTATTATATGAACAATTGAAGTTAAGGAGTTGTTTACATTCGTCAAACAAATTGGCCGGTATTTTGGTGACTTGATTGTAACTGACATCAACATATTCCAATTCGGTTAATTCATTAAACATTTCGGCACTTAATTCACTTATATTATTTGATTCAAGATACAGGTATTTTAAACTATTTCCAAGGGAGAACGCATTTGGATCAAATCGGCTTATTTGATTGTTTGATAAATCCAATGTATTTAGATTAACTGCTTCTATTAGTAAATCAGCGGGAATTTCAGTGATTTTGTTGTGGGATGCACTTAATTTCATCAATTGGGTACCACTTTTAAAACTTTCAGGTTGCAATGTCTCAACGCCGAGGTTTGACATATTCAATTCGAATACATTTTTATAAATTTTGAAAAAGTTGCTGGCAATTTTGGACAGTTCACAATTTTTAAAATTTATTGAGCCAATATTATAGTTATCAAAGTCTGATTGGCCTGTGCAATAATGCAAAGTGTTTACAAAAAAGTTTCTTTCCCCAAGATTTTCATTGCAAATGAATGTTAAAGGATATTTTCCCCTTTCTGCGCTTCCATCGTAATGGCAATCACTAATAAATTGATGTTTTTTCGAATGAACAACACAATCAAACGCACAAAAATTTAAAAACAAGTAAATCACCATGGATTTCATTTTGCTCATTTTAACAAATGTCTGAACGTTTTGAAGTGCACTCTTCAACTGAATGTATTCAACTTGGAGCACTCATTAACTGAAATTGTATGAATTGCTGATATAGCTCTGATATATTTTTTATGTTTCAGCGAATTCAGCAATTCTTCAAAATAAATAATGAAAATAATGTGTATTTAAATCATTTTTTCATTTCAAATGTGTCGTAGAGGATGGAAATAACTTCAAGAAATTAATCTTCTGCTCTTATTTACGTGAGTGGGTGCACTTATGAACGATAAACTTATGAAGTTTCTGATAGCGAAAGCTATGATATGAAATATATATCGTAATTTTTATTCTCAGTGACATAAACGAAGAAGAAAGAAGCGAATAAATGTGCAAGTACGAATGAATTCACCATAAATTATCGCATCCCATATGAAACCTCAACGCTATGCGCGTCAAATTGACGTTATTCGACGCTATTCCATGTGTATATAGAATTGTACATTATGTTTTACAGTGCTGTGCAAGCATGCGGCCTTATACACAGTAACACACGAACTCCGTTTATGTGCGCGCGTTGCCTGTTATGTTTTGTGTATTGAATTGCGATTCAATCACAGTAGACGGCGCAGGCACTGTAAAACATAATGTACAATTTCATATATACACATAGAATAGCGTCGAATAACGTCGATTTGACGCGCATAGCGTTAAGGTTTCATATGGGATATGCATGATTCGATGTGTATTTTCACATCAAAAACTGTTTACAATTGCAGAACAACACCCACACTCACTCTATCGAGTGAACGAACATTGACCATATAGTTTTCATTTCCAAGCAATATGATTTTTGTTGTTTTTACATTGTGGTAATTTGATTATAGGCAATGCAACAAAAGTCCAAATTGATAAAAAAAGGAGAAAAATAGTTCAAATTTCGTCAAAAAAAAAGAAAATAAGCTTGATTGAGATCTAAATTCGAGTAAATGACTTTCAATTGATATGTGTGATTTTATTATTGATTTATGTTGCGATCGGATTCCTTTCAATATTAATTGCGAAAAGAATGGAAAATTAAACATAAATGGAAAGGTTGCGATATTAATTTATAAAAGAAGTGCATTTATTTTACCTCAAACCTTTAACTATACTTATCCTAAATTCGGTTCCGAAGTCATCCATTGAAATTCTGCCGCTGAAAAAAGCGATAAATGAAAGGCACTGGATTTTGCTCAACATAGGTACATTTTTATAAACCTTTTATTGATGTTTTTGACTTTTTGACAACTTAAGAGAGAATTTCCACTAAAAAATCGATTTTTGGTTCGTTTATTTGAAAATGTAACAAAATAAATGTGGATATTCACCGCTCATGGCAGATCTAACAAAAATGGACTTTTTATGAGGACTAAACAAATATTTTAGAGCAAAGACTTTTTTGTTTGCTAAGAATTTATAAAAATGAAAACAAATATATGTTTCTAAAGAAACACACAATATGTGTGATTAAAATTTAAACTGAATCGATGGAAACATCTTTTTTCATGGCTTTTCAAATTTAATGACGTCATCGTTGTTGTTTTCCACTGCGTTTCGTAAATTTATTTCATTTCGTCTGTAAATGACTTGTCCCGGCTCAAGCGATATATTTAAACGTATTTGAATGATTTTCCATGCAATCGCGATAAAAATGACACTAAATCCGAAAATGATTACACACATAATCACAAACATGTAGTTTTTTATGTCAATTAAATGGTTCGCTAGATGACTTGTGTTGACTGAACTATGATGATCTTGTTTATCATTCGTCAATTCCAACGAGTGCGGATGTTTCTTGTCGATTTCTTCGTTTCTCTGTGGCTTTTCGGTTGTCAAATTTTCGATTAATTGTCGCTTTTTCGTTGTTGATTTCTTTTCAATTACATCCGCAGTTGCATTATCAAAAATCACGTTCATAATTGATGTCTCTTCAATTGATCCAATGGTGACCGCTTCGGTGTGATCTGTTTCTTCATTTTCCGAACTGCAATTGATTCGAATGGAGATGTTGTCTAAATGTTCAAGTCATTTCGAAATTTTTTTCATAAAATGAACAATTGAATTTGTTGGTGTCAATGCCAATAATTTTCATGTGGTCAAGACTTGATGGTAAACAATTCGAATCCAATGTCTTCAACTGATTGTACGACACATCCAATCGTTTTAAATTCACCAAAGGCGAAAATGTGCCCGGAACTATCACCGATAAGTTACAATGGGACAAAAACAATTGCTCAAGTTTCACAAGACCTGCAAATGTTTTGTTATCCAATTTTTTTAGTGAATTGCCCGACACATCGAAATACACTAAATGCTGCAAAATTTTCATATTGTCCGGTTTCAGTGCCGTGATTCGGTTAAATGAAATATCAAAGTGCGTTAGATTTGAAAGTGTTTCGATCATTTTCCGATTCAATGTTGCAAGTTGATTGTGTGTCAAATTTAATTTTCTTACATCTGTAGTGCCAGAAAAAGCGAAATAATCAATCGTTGCTATTTTGTTGAAGGACAAATTCACATCGGTTAGTTTCTTCGTTTTATGCAGGAAAAATGATGGGATTTCTCGTATTTCGTTGTGAGATAAATGTAATTCTTTCAATTCAGTGAGCGTTTGAAATGTGCTGACATGCAATTCACTGATGTTGTTATGAGACAGATCCAAT